AGACTCCTGGTATTGGTATTCGTTTGCCAGCGCTGCCATAACGAAGCACCGACTGGGTGCTGGGGGCCTCAAGCCACATTCATTCACTTCCTCACTCTTCTGGAGGCCAGAGGTCTGCGGTCAAGGTGTCTGCAGGGCTGGTTTCGGCTGAGTCCTCTCTCCTGGGCTTGTAGACGGCCACCATCCTGTTGCATCCTCAACATGGTCTTCCCTCTGTGTGTCTGTGTCCTAATCTCCCTTCTCATGGGGACACTGGTCGGATTGGATTAGGGCTGACCCTAATGACCTCATTTTACCTTAATTTTCTCTTTAGAGACTCTAGCCCCAAATACAGTCACATTTTGAAATACTGAGGGTTAGGACTTCAACACAGGAATTCTGGGAGGTTGCAACTTAGCCCATAAGAACATTTTTTTTGGTACTTCGTCTTAGAAACATGGTTCACACCGGCCACACTGCAAATGCCCAATGGCCGTGTGTAGCTCCAGACTCAGTACTAGGCAGCAAGGGTTAGAGCTCTGCCCATTGATTGAGAGCTGGTTTCTCTGGTGCCCAACTGCTCAGAGGGCTCAAAGAAATATCTGAGATTGAGTAACCTTTATAAAGAAAAGACCTCAGGGAGCTTATACTCGTGGCAGAAGGCAAAGCTGGGGCAGGCATCTCACATGCAGCAGCAGGATTGAGAGTAGATGCTAGGGAGGCCCCACACAATTCTCTGTTTTTTAGTTTTTGAGATGGATTCTCAACTCTGTCACCAGGCGGGAGTGCAATGGCTTGATCCCTGCTCACTGCGACCTCCGCCTCCTGGGTTCAAGCTATTCTCCTGCCTCAGTCTCCCAAGTAGCTGGGATTACAGGTGCACTCCACCACACCTGGCTTATTTTTGTATTTTTAGTAGAAGTGGGGTTTTGCCATATTGGCCAGGCTGGTCTCGAACTCCTGACCTCAGGTGATCTGCCCACCTCAGCCTCCCAAAGTGCTGGGATTATAGCATGAGCTGCCAGGCCCAGCTGGTCCCACATACTTTTGAACAACAAGAACTCACTTAAACTCACTCACTCCCACAACACAGCACCAAGGAGAAAATCCACCCTTATGACCCAATCCTGGTCTCCCCACCTCCCTCCTCACCAGGCCCCACCTCCAACACTGGAGATGACAACTTGACATGAGATTTGGGCAGGGACCCAGATCCAAACCACATCAGTGCCCCACACCGATCAAGGTCCTCCTTCAAGTTTCCATGGGCTGTGCCACCTGCTTACTACGGCCTGTGATGACCTGTGCAGCATTTACAAAATATTTTTCCCCTGAGAGAATTGCGATCTGGGAATGGAGTGTGGAACACTGTGCCCTGGGCCCTCACCACTTCAAGCTTCTCAATCTTCAGCCGTGGCCTTTGTCTAATTCCACTGAGTTTAGGAAAGGTGGGAGGATGTTATTTCTCAAATGGTGGCACATCCCCAAACCAGGCAGGGATACTCATGCCTCGGCCTTATTTCTTAAACAAAAGCGACTCTAAGTCTGGTGCAAAATGTCACACTTTGAGCTTCTTCTGTGACCCCCTCCCTAATGCACTGCCCACCTGGTAGGATTTTCCACATTGTAGTCACGGGGGTCAGGAACCCATTCCCTCAGGCTGCTTCTCCTGCAGGGTCCAGCCTATCTAAGCCCCCTCTCTAATGGAAGAAAGAAACTCCACGATGGAGAAACCAGCATTGAGGCCTAACAAGTTTTTCAGGCTGTTCTCACATCTCTAGTTGTGGGAAAGCCCGGTTGTTTGGGAGACCAGTGTGGATGTTGTCTTTCTCAGAATACATACATACTTTAGGGATTTCTATGTTAGTTTTTGTTAATCCAGACTGGATCGAGCTCTTGATTGGAACGCAACTCACCTGTCTAATGAGCTGCGTGGTGCAGGTGGGTGCCACTTACACTCACCTGCCCCGAAGGGCACTGCTCTACCCCTTGGGATCTGCCTCAGCCAACGACAGGAACACTGTCATTTTGGGTCAGAAGCCTGAAGGGCGGGGGACTCCTTGCTGTCCTCTCCAACTGTGTTCCTCTGTGGTGGAACCTTTGCTCACCCGGGTTCTGAGCGAGGAGGAGGACGGGGAGCATGCGTGACGAACACACCTATGCTGTTTGGAGCCATGGAGATTTGGAGAGGTTCAAACTCTAGCGTATTCCCGCCCATCAGGACTGTTACGGAAGATGACTTACTTCCTACTGCGCTTTTTTCCCAGTAAACTTAAGGCTTGTTGATGTTAAAATGAATTTCTTGCCTTGCAGCTAATCACTCAGATACTTCAAATTTCATTTTATCAACTCTTTTCCAGCACCCGTTCTTCCTCTCACTTCAGTTTTAGAAGGATAAGGAGGCTTTGTTCCTTTTTAACATTCTCATGGAAATGCCACGTATATTCAGGAGCGGCTGTTCCATCGGTTTTATTGATACAGCTACTATGAAGAAAATCCTCCTAAAACTCATTCTGATTCAAGGCCAGCCAATGATCACTTTGCCATAGCCCTTGTTCTGTCTCCATCAAAACACAGGGACATCGGAGGACATTCGTTGAGTCAGTTTTCCTTTAGCTGCGCATACCGTTTTGTCACTTGAATTCATTTTTTCTAAGCCAGGCTTTCTCAACCTGGACATGATGGGCATTCTGGGCTGTATATTTCCCTCTGGTGTGGGGGCGTGCGTGCACTGTTGGAGGTTTGGCAGCACCTTCCCTCCATCACCACCCACCCCGCCCCGGCCCCCAGGAAAACCTACAATGCCTCCTACAGATCTCAGTTGGGAGCCGCTGTTCTGAACTGAACACATTCTCTCTGCCCTTCCATGTGATTTTTGGATGAACTTCACAACATAGAAAAAGATATTTGGCTACCATTGCAAAAAAAAAAAAAAAAAAAAGACTTCGTTTTTTGATTTATCACTTATTGAAGGTCACCTGTCCTGCCACACACGAGCATTTCTCATCTGTCAGGAAGCACCGTTAAATGCTCAGTTTTCATTCATCTGTTGGTTCTTTCCACACATGTCCAGTGAGCACGTGCTGTGTGCCAGACACTGTTCCAGGCATTAGATGCGTGGCGGGGAATGGACACGTGAGGCTCTATCTTCACAGAGCTCAGAGCCTACTGGGGAACTCATTAAAAAAACACACAAGCAAATCTATCATTGCAAATGATCATAGGTGCTGTAAAGGAGAAAAGAGGATGTTTCCGTGGTTGGAGAAGAGGTGACATTTAAGCTGAGATGGGAAGGAGTGAGCCTGGGGCACAGCAGGAGGAGATTCCTTGAGTGCACCATGAATGCACAGGCCCCTACCAGACAGAAAGTAGCCCAGAGTGCCAATCGTGTTCATCTTGAGAAAGTCTAGCTTAGAAAAAGCTAATTCAAGTGACAAAATGGTATCGGCAGCAAAAGGAAAACTGACCCAAGGAATGTCCACAGGGCAGAGCAGCAGAAACCCGCTGGGCAGTGGCAGGGAGGTCTGCTGCATTTCAGGATGCAGAAGGGCCAGTGTGGCTGGAATGCAGAGGGCAAGGGAGGGCATGAGGGTGGAGAGGTCGCGGGAGTCAACGCTGGTCAGAAGATGTGCTGCCACAGACAGCTGGCAACAGCCATCAACAAAGGCATATGTTCCTTCAGGCCCGTGACCTCTGACCCTCGGGCCTCCTGGCCACCCTGGGGTCCCTGCCTCCTGCCTGCCCACTCTGCAGCACAACTCACCCTTCTCTAGAATGCCATGGAGCCACGAAGCCACTGTGGGGAAGGGATGGCTGCTTTCGCTCCATTTCTTTACCAGTTTGCTGAGAAATAGGATTCTCCTGGCTAAGCTAATACAATCTCAGTAATTGGCCCTAAGCCTCAAAGCTTCTCATTCTGGAGAAAAAAATTTATGCTGTTCCACTACAGCAGCGGTCTCGCATCAGGGACTGGCTTCATGGAGGAAAATTTTTCCAGGGACTGGGGTAGGGGATGGTTTCAGGATGATCCAAGGGCATTACATTTATTGTGCAGTTCATTTCCATCATTATTACATTATAATACATAACAAAATAATTCTACAACTCACTATCATGTGGAATCAGTGGAAGCCCTCAGCTTGTTTTCCTGCAACTAGATGATCCCATCAGGGGAAAATGGGAGGCAGTGACAGGTCATCAGGCATTAGATTCTCTCTCATAAGGAGCATGCCGCCTAGACCCCTGGCATGCACAGTTCACAATAAGGATCAGGCTCCTGTGGGAATCTAATGCTGCTGCTGATGTGGCAGGAGGCGGAGCTCCGGCAGGAGCGTGAGCCATGGGGAGCAGCTGTGAACACAGATGAAACTCTGCTTGCTCACGCAACGCTCACCTGCCGCTGTGCCACCCATTTCCTAACAGGCCACAAACTGGTACCAGGGGCTGAGGACCTGGGGTAGGGACCGCTGAACTGCAGGACTGGGTGTAATTCACAGGACATTTCTGATCCTTATTTCTGAGTGGCCTTTGGGAGCTCATACACCTTTGTGAAAAGTTCAGACTTTCTCCCTGTGTCAAGAATGGTAGGGACAAATGAAAGAGGCAGCAACACTCACTCCAAATGTGAGCAGAGTCCCAAGCTTGTGACCACGGGCACTCTGTTAAGTCATTGTATTCAATGGGGTTTGGCTTAGGTCAACAGCCACAAAAAGGGGCAGCCATCATCCCTTCTGGGCATCGGTGCAATTGTGGGTAGAACTGTGCTCCCCAGAAGTATCTGAAGTCCTAACCGCTGGTATTTCTGAATCTGACCTGGAAACAGGGTATCTGGATGTAACCAAGGGCAGATAAGGTCCTGTTGCAGGAGAGTGGGCCTCATCTAACTGCTGGTGCCTCCTAAGGAGAGAGAGATTGAGACAGAGACTCGCATGGGGAGAAGGCCTGTATGACAGAGGCAGAGCTTAGAGCCATGTAGTTACAGCTGACCAGTGCCAGGGACCGCCAGCAACACACGCAAAGGAAAAGGCACGGGGCAGATTCTTCCCTGCAGCTTCAGGGGGCAGCCACACCAACACCGTGACTTCAGGTTTGCAGCTCCCAGTACTAAGTACTAATACATTCCCGTTGTTGAAAGCCACCCAATTTGTGCTACTTCTTTTTTTTTTAAGTAAAAAAAAAAAGGTTCTGAAATAAGTTAGGAAGCTTGAGGAAGCCAAAGAAAGAGTTCCGATGTCACATCAGTGGCAGGTTTTAAAAACTTCTGAAACTGAAGCAGATTTTTTAAAAATAGTTACTATATATCTGAATCACAAGAACTCCAGTGATCGCATATAATACTGGCTGATTAAAATGACAGCAGGTTTCCTTTTAGTGGAAGTCAAGTGGAATGTATAATTTTGTTTAAGCCAATTAAACTAGAAGCCACCAAGATGGAGCAACATCCATCCTACCATGGGATTAATTTTTCCGTGACAACAGAAAAATGCAAGATGTCAAAGGAATACATTAGCTCTGTGGGCACAGAAACACCTCCAAATCAGTGTTCCAGACTTAGTTCTCTCAGGTAAGGGTTATAAAAATACCTGGTGTTTTTTTAGAGCATCTATAAAAGGACTATTGATTTTTTTTTTTTAAGATTTCTACTTTTAAGTGCAAGCTGAAGGAACATGCATAAAACATTTCAATATACAGCTTGTAACAAATTTCTGGTTCTGCAAACATCACGTTAAAAAAACGTGTTTACAATGCTGCAGGTAGGTGCACGGAAAGAGGAAAACAAGGAAAGCTGCTTTTCCAGTTTTACCTTGCCTTTGTCGAAGAAGTGGATGATTTCTTGGTAGAGCTGCTCCTTCAGCTGCCCCTGCGTGGTGGCCTGGTACCCGTCCCGCTGGGTGAGGTGGGCCGCACACACATCCTCTGACCACTAAGGGAGAAACAGAGCATGAGCAGAGCCGAGGCGGACACACTCAGGGACGTCAGAATGGTGTGAGCTCCGCATGGGACACACGTGCGGGCCGTGGTTCTGGAGACAAGTGTGACTGCTGTCATCAGGCTGAGGACTGCCAGGGCAGAGCCTCTGGACATCCCGACAGGCATAAAAGATATGGGGGAGGCAGAGCTGTGGTGGGGTTCAGACAAAAGAAAAACCCAGCAGGTTCTGGAAATGACAGAACCGGCAGCATGCTAATGATGCTTCATAACATCCCGGGACAAATCAGGAGCCAGGTGATCCAGGTCATCCCGACGGCGGCTCCCCAGGGCTCTGGTCTCAGTGCTGCGTGGGTTGGCATTTTAATCAACAGCAAAGATGGTATACAGAATACCTGAGTCACCCAGAAAAGGACTAGAAAGGCTGTCAAGCTCATTAAAGATGGGGAGATGTCTTTGTACCATCAGCCCTAGGCATGGTTCTGGGCACAGAGTCGGGGCTTGGCCAATATTCCTGGAAGCATTGGCGCAGTAGGTGTGTGAGCTGAAGACACAAGAGGAGATATGCCAGAGGGAAGGCAAGGCCACTTGTCACCTCCTGAACTTGGGCTTAACACATCACTTAATGCCACATCAGTGGTATTAAGTATAGCGTTCAATAAAATTCAGCAGATATTTGGTGAGGACCTGCTGTGTGCCACGAACTAGGTCAAAGAGGAGGTGGAAGATGCCTGATCCCTAGGATGGTGCGATTCTATATCACAGAACAACACTGTGTGAGCTAGGCCTGGGCCACTGCACTCCAGCCTGGACAAGAGCAAGACCCTTCTTCAAGAAGAAAGACGAAGAAGAAGGAGCAGAAGGAGGAGAAGAAAGAAGAAGGAGAAGGAGGAGGAGGAGAAAAAGAGGAGGAGGGGGAGGAGGGGGGGGGGGGGGGGGGGGGGGGGGGGGAGGGGGGGGGGGAGGAGGAGGAGGACGACGACGACCTAAACACAGGAGGCATGCGCTCCCACTGGGCAGCCTGGAGGCTCACGGGAGGACACGATGAGCATGGCCTTGCTTATTTCATTTGCAAAAGTGATTTAAAAATGCAAGGAAGTCATTTGGATTCTGAACTTGCTTATTCTTAATTTATTTGATTGTAGTTACATTTCAGAATCATCTAGTTTACTTTTTATTCTCCATCCTCCCGTAAAAGTAGACCAGAGAGTGAGCTTGACCCTGTTTTCAGCCAGGCCCGGGAGGATGCTACAAAGAAAGCAGAAAGTGGGAAGCCGGGGTCCGGGGTCCAGGGTCTGGGGTCCGGGGTCCGGGGTCTGGGGTCCGGGGTCCGGGGTCCGGGGTCCGGGGTCTGGGGTCCGGGGCAACAGGGCAAGGCTCCGTCAGCTGCTTACTGTCTTATCACACGCCCCTCCCTGCTTTCCTGAAATCACAGGTCTGGGAGCACCTCCTGCTGGACATCAGGGCTCCCAGGCACAGGACACTGGGCATGGGCCGGAATGGCTCCCCCTTTCCAGGAAGGTCAGGCAGGAGTGAGAAGCTTTTAAGTGGTCTGCAAGATTTTCCACCTTGAAATTATACTTGCATAACCCCATCACAATTGGAAATGACAAATTCTTTACCTTTGAAGTTTGTACAACATAATTGGTCTACTTTTATTGGAGGGTGGAAAATAAAACTAGATGATTCTAAGATGTAACTACAATCAAATAAATTAAGAACAAGCAAGTTGAGAATCCAAATGACTTCCTTGCATTTGTAAATCACTTTTGCAAATGAAAACATTGACTAGGGAAGCAAAAATCTTCTCTACCTTCCAATTCAACATGGAGATATAATAATTTGATGGCTAGGCAAAATCTAAAGGTTTTTTTGTTTGTTTATTTTTGTTTTTTATATGCAGTTTTGCTCTTGTTGCCCAAGCTAGAATGCAAGGGCGCGTTTTTGGCTGACTGCAACCTCTAACTCCTGGGTTCAAGCAATTCTCCTGTCTTAGCCTCCCGAGTAGCTGGGATTACAGGTGTGCACCACCATGCCTGCTAAGTTTTTTGTACTTTTAGTAGAAACGAGGTTTCACTGTGTTAGTCAGGCTGGTCTCAAACTCCTGACTCCAGGTGATCCACCCGCCTCGGCCTCCCAAAGTGCTGGGATTACAGGCATGAGTCGCCGAGCTTCGCCAAAACTAAAGTTTTTATTGCTCTTGGTTTTGATGAAAGATATACCTAACCAAAAAAGAAGGTTCTATTTGAGGATTTTCAGTTAGCAAACAATAATATATCTGTCAGACTGAAGAATTTTTATAACAATACAAATCATGTCCTTTGGTGAGTTGATTAGTATGAATTCACATTTATAGTAATATCAAAACATATTTAGAAAAAATTGCAAAATGTAATGAGGCAAAAGATATGGAGAGAGATTATGTAGCATTCATCATTAAACTGGAAAATTCAGAAGCCCAGGGGAAACGATAATGCAATTGGGCCTATTGATTTGAGTTGTGAAACAAACCATCACGCAGTTTGTGACAAGCCCATCTGTCCTCAGTAAACCCAATGATTAAACAAATTATGCTTTTATGCACATATATATGTTTTACATTCACATATGCCTATAAAAGTTTACATTCTGTGAGAGACAGAGTAAGGGTTAAGTGAGCAGTTTGTCAACCCCATTCTAATTTCCCTGGGGCAAAAGAAGTATCTTCACATTTGCAAAACCACGTTGTTACTGAAATTTGAGTTTCTAATAAATGAAGGACATCAGAATTCATAGTGTGATGGCTGGTGTCAGATGTACCAACTGAAATCTCCATCTTCATAAATTATGCTCCCTGGGAGAGCCTTACGTGGCATGAGGCCAAATGGGTCCTCAGGCAGCCAGCCTCGGGAGGACCACTGATGAGGCCTCCAGACTGAGCTGAGTTCTGTATGTTTTATTTGTGACAGACACTGCTGTTTCCAGGCAGAGGCAAATTTCCATGTCCAAATGCCTCTAGAGCAGCCTGTGTATATTTGTGTCACAGAAGCTATCAGAAGTTTCAGGATTGGGCCTAAGGTAGAAACAGTCTTACCAGAGTTTAACTCCAAAACACAGTGTTTTCCTTAACTCCTATTACCCAACTGACACTGCTTATCGCCGGTTTAATGTAATTTTCTGGTTTTTTTTTTTTTTTCTTTCCATTTTTGGTTTTTTGGGAGGCTTGCCTAGATTTGGGAACATGACTCCTTGAATGAGCAGTCTTTGTGGAATGCTACCAAACTAAATTCTAATTCTTGTAACTGTTTTTATTTATCCAGTCCATAATTTCTCAAATGTTTATAAGGATACCATGAGAAAAATAATCTAATAACTTGCTGAAGTTGTCAAATATAAAACTATAGAGGCTGTATAGCAGTTTACCCATCCATCCATCCATCCATCCATCCTGTAAACAAAGAAAGTCAACTAGATGCTGACTATCTGAGTAATAAAAGAACCGCTAAGAGTTGACAGTTGTCATGCCAGACCTGTGCTAGGAGCAACACTCTTTAGAAGAATCAGGCAGAGAGTATGAACGCAAGGTCTCAATGTGAGCTAATAAAATGAAAAGTCATGACCTGGTCCCTAACTCTTTACTAAGACAACTAGGGGTATGTCTCGTCCTATCTCTTAGTTGTTCTACCAGGAAAATTCCCTCCTGATACTGTTCTCCACCATCCCGAAGTCCTGTTGTCCTGAATAAGGAACTGTAGAACCTCTAACTTGCTGTTAGCTCATGGCCAAGTGATGGGAGTTTACAATGCTTAGTGATCACCTGCTGACATCTTACTAAATCTGCATTCGGTAGGGACAAATCTGTAATCAAAGTACTTCCTAAATATTTCTGTTCATGTCCTTGCATTTGTTTAGTCAATTTCATAAAAGCTTAAGTTATAGGTTCACTAAAATTTGCCATTGAAAAATACAATTCTGAATACTCTTAGAATTTATAACAACAGAACGATCGCAGCGATCAGTAACTGACACTACCTTCAGGAGCTTTGCATGGAGAAGCAAGGTGTAAGCCGCTTCAGTGTAATTATCACACTCCTTGTGCAGGTCGCAGAGCTTGTACAAATACCTGAGACGATCAAACAGAGGCATGTCCTTAAAATGTCACGAAATAATTTGTGTTGAGGATTGCAAGAGCTAATTCTATGTTCAACAGTAGATCATGGCTATACTTTCTTTTTACAATGTTCATAATTCCTAATGCCTTAAAAACTTTTGGTACAGAAAGCACTAAGAAAAACCCAGGAAAAAAATAAAGATGATACGCAAAATTAGAATTTTCCTTCAAATTTCTCTTTCCTTTTTATTTTCCCTTAAACATTTTTAATGAGATACACTGCTTGATTGTGATTTCCTATATTTCAACTGAATCCAAATGCACAAAAAAACTACAAAAATACAAATCCATGAAAATACAGAGCTCCGATGATCACAGTCAATGTGATCCAAAGAATTTCTTTGCCATTAAGAAGTAGAGGTAACTGATTTATTAAATTCATATAGCCTGTTTTTAAAAGTGAGAAGTAAAAAAAAATCTTAGAAATAGAAAATGAGACAATCACACTCAATGTAATGAACACATCACTAAACACTCATGCTGTGTAGGTTACATCCTTCTCCTGCTCTCCAGAGTGGTAATCTTGCTAATTATTTGACACTAGACTTTAGAAGTAAGCAAGAGAGAGGGGCTCAATCACAGTCCGCCACTCTAGGGAGTCAGGCAAGTAGGGGAGCAAAATCCAGCAGGCAATGTAAAACATTTCTGTTCTTCATGGAAGAAAGACATAAAAAAACTGGGACTGTGGCATTAGTTAACTAAGAACAGTCTGAAAAATTATAACTCACCTATGTATGGTAAAGTTAAAAATGGATTTCTCACTGGATGATACGACTTACTGTGAAACATTAAAATTCACATGCTTATCTTTTTGCAGAAGGGCCACATGAGTTGTGAAATCATCATTTGCAGTTCTGCCTCTGAGTTGGCTAAATGTGATCACCAAGTGCTTTGCACCGGTCTGGACAAACTACACAAGGGCTGAGAATGTATCTGGGAGCTCCATCAAACTCCACCTTATACCATTCACAATTTTCTACAAAATAAACCTTTGTGGCTATAACATTTCTTAGTACAGGTAAACATAAGATACATATTATTATTTATAATAAACGTAGTGCAGACAGGCGTGATGCATACATACCTTATATACATTTCTTCTCTTTCAATTTCTTTGTAGAAATTCTGAAAAGTGAGACCATAATACTGTTTTAAGAAATCTGTTCCACAAAAGGTGTCACATGCACATTCAAGATTCAACTTCACCTTGTGTCAGACACAGCCAAACGGATCCAGTTCTTTGGATCAGAACCATGTTCACATAAATTACAAAACCATCTTACACTGTTCTTCACATTTTTTTGCTAGCCAAACACAAGTACATTTCCTACACTGACTACTGTGAAGACTAAAGTCAACTTCTGTCATTTGAAAGTCACTTATCTTTAGTTAAAACAAGGTATTGCCTCAAAAGGCATGAAGACATGAAGTCTTAGCCACGGTAATCTCATTAGAATAAATGAATACATAGATGAATGTCCCAAATTTGGGAATAAGCAAATAAGCATCATCAACATGATTTAAAGCTTTCTGGGCCCAGCGTCAGCAAGAGCCGCAAAAAGATAATATAATAATATAGACCTGAGGTATCCAATACACTAGCCGCTAGTCACACATATTAAAAGGTAAAGTAAATTTAATTAACATTGAATAAATAATTCACTTCCCCAGCTGCAACTGCCACGCTTGGAGTGCTTAACAGCCACATGGGGTAATGTGACTCTATCAAACAGTGTAGACACAAGACATTTCCATTATCCCAGAACTTTCTGGTAGATAGCACTGTTTCAGGCAGAGAAACCTTCCAAACCATGGTACAAAAATGGGCTGCCTCTGAAAACGCCCCCTGTGTATAAACACTGATGGAGAAAGGTTAGTCAGTAGCTTAAAACCAATGGATTATTTCTACAAATTTACTGGAAAATCTCATCTGGTGGAGCATTAACATTTCTATCAAAATTATATTTTTTAATGTGAACATCTCCATAAACACTCTAAAATCTTTATCACACAGGAGGCACCAGAAAGGCACAGAAGTCACCTACCAAGGCCTAAGGTAAGGAAACATCATGGTCACGTTCAAGGTGAAATTTAGCACCTAAAAATGCTGTTAGTCCTCTAGAATCAGAGCCAGAAGTAACTAGGGAATATCACCATTATAGACACATACAATTATCCAAGGAAATGGCACAGGCTTTTTAATTTCATGAGCAAAACCCAGCATTGCTTCTACAATTGATGTATCTGAAAAGAAATGATAACTAAGCCTGGAAAATAAGCAGGGGCACATTTAGAAAAATGCACCAAGATTTTCCAGTTTTGTTGCCTCTGACATTTTAATGTCCTCCAGTTCATACGACACAGCTCAGTAATGAGGATATTTTCAGCTGACAACTCAGCGTCGCAACAAAGAAAATCTGCATCAAAGGCAGAGGATAAGCCCTTCATTTCCAACTCAATCTAGCCAGTATTTACAAGCTATGGTTTCACACCATCCCCTTTTGTACTCGTATTTTTAATCCTTTCTAAGGTTTTGATCATTTTTCTTTGCAATTTCACAACGGGAATATCATACGACCTTCGTTCCTCTCTTGGAGATATGAAAATGTCTTCTCTTTTCTGCCTGTGCTGAGTCCCGTTCCCTTCCTAGGACTTCAAAACCTCTCCACAACCAAAGTACACTCATCTCCAATCCCAATTTCTATATAAAACCTTTGTGTTTCTTATGTAAAGGTTCACGCAGTGCCCCCACTCCTCCTGGGCTCCGCGGGCAGCCTGGCCTCTCAAGTCCCCCCACACCGGCACTGACTGACATCTGTACCAAGCTCACAGCTCAGCTCCCAGAGGAACCCCATTGGGACCGGCCCCCCGACTCCCATCCACCGCTAGCCATTGATCTTTCAGAGTTCAGGCATCTGCATTATATTTCAATTTGGGGCTAAAACAGATACCAAGATTTAAAAAATACTGCACCCTACTCTGCATTTAATTAGCCTCGTAAAGGGGCCATGGCAAGAGCAACTGGCATCTTCAAAGTCCTGACGAGTCTACCAGTTTCAGAGATGGGATGCGTGGATGACTGCACAGAAGACTGAGTGACACTCAGCAAAATTAGCGAACAATAATTAAGGGCTGCTCGATTATGAGGTGTCAGTGAAATTCTAGTTAAAGAATCAAAAATGTACAGCCAAGATCCAA